GTGTCAGTGCCGGCGCCGCCACACGCTCGCGTCATGATACTGTCGTGAACGCGCGTCCACAAGTAGAGACGAAAATGTGGAATGAAGTCGTTATTTTTGTTTTCTTTGCGCAAAAAAGTATTCTCGTAGCTTCGTGGTAGTTACCTTGCTGTCTATGGGAGGGTCAGAGAGCCCTCATATTTAATCAAAAATATCTTAATTTGTGTTCTGAAGATGAACGAAGGTCTGACGGGTTTGGAACGACACGAGGGGGAGTAATTAATGACAGAAGTTTCATTTTTGGGTGAACTAACCCTTTAAGTGTGCAAACATGTTCAGAGCAACAGTAAGTGCAGAAGCACAAGAATATTTGGTTTCTCTCCTAAACCTACATTAGCAAAAAACTGACCATAAAAGGAAAATGCAGTATATGATATGAAGCTAGAAAAAACACATTCACACAAAATAAAGTATCTGACACAACACGTTTTCTTTTTTTTTTTACAATTTTCTTTTTATTTATTCAAAAGAAACAAGGAAAAAGGCAAAAAAAAAAAAAAGTTCAGAAAAAGGCGAGACATTTAAATAAGAGCGACTGTGTGCAGGTGTGTTCAGGAGGAGAAAGAGGACATGATTTCTCACTGCGGGTCTGACGAAGCCCAATGCTCAGGCTAAAGCAGCAAGCCAGAGACACTGTCACACACCAGAGAAAAAGGCACTAATCCAGAGAGAACAAAAAACATCACAGAAAAAACAAAAAGAGGAGAAGGAGGGGGTCAATAATACACGTGGAGGAAACAAAATACATAAGAGCTAAAACATGTAACACTGAAAAGACAAAAGAGGTAAGAGAAACCAAAAAAAACAAACAGAACGCATCACATTACTCAATGTGACAACTCAAATATAACAAAACTCTCTGGTTTCTTACTTCTTACTGGCTTAGCTGGCATCCGCCAGTTTTTCGACACCAAATCTCATGATTTTAAATCATTTCGTTACGTGAACAGCTTTTCGACATGGACACCGTGAACAGATGCGTCTCTGAAATCATGCAACTGTGGTGAAATCTGAGGACCGTCGTGAGGAGAGTGATGTCGGCTACATTCACATCCCAAGACAAAAAGTGGCTGCAATAAATACATTGGCTTAAAATGGTGGCTAGCCGCCTGGTTTTTCACATTAGATCAACTCCTGCACGATCGGAAGCTCCTCGGCGATGAATCTCTGTCGCCAAGGATCTGCTCCCCTATTGGTTCTAAAACAAGTAAGAATGATGTCAAATGGAATACATGATGCGTAAAATAATACGGTGTTACATCTGAGATGCTCATAAAATTAGCACGTCTCAGAGCTACTCAGTTTCACCTGCCCTCCCCAAAAAAATTAACATAATTTACAATTGGAAAAAGAAGAAAAAAAAAAAAAGTGTTGAAAAGGTAAAACAGACAGACACATACAAATATATAATATATATATTCTTTAAAAAATGGATTCTCTCTATAGGTGATTTTTTTCTTCCACAGCCCAGATGTACAATGCGTTTGCAAGTTTTTACGCTTACATTTTTATATATTTTTAGAATGTTTTTTTTTTTTCCTTTTTAAAAACAGCTTCAGGATTTACTATTATAAAGAGATTTAAACATGCAGCCAAAAAAAAAAAAAAAAAAAATTCTATTCGCAGACAAAAAAAGAAGCCTGAAGCAGCAGGATGAATCTACAGACAGAATCATTGTTGTTTTAATTTATGTGTGTTTTACTAAGCTAGGATTCAGCCTTTCCTTCGCCCTAACAGCTCAGTCCGGACTGCAAGCGTTCATGAAGACATCACGATTCTCAGGAATAATAGTTTCGCCCGGGCACCACGGCAGAGGTGGAAACATCCAGCCTCTCCGCTACGTTTTTTTTTCCTCTCCTTGTTTTCGGTCACGATTTCCATTCCTCTGTGCCGCTTTAAATTTCACAGGACTTTACGGGTGTTGACGGGGAGATGTAGGGTAGTCTGATTGTATGTGAATGTGAGGGGCCGTTAATTACAATTTATTCACTAATCGCTTGGTTTTTTTCCTTTACATGTTCCGATTGACAGGCGTGACGTAGTTGCGTGGGAACATGCCCGTCTGGCCGTGACAGGCGCCCTTCCACCAGTTGGGGTCAGAGTTGTCCAGGACCTGAATGAAGTCTCCGCGTCTGAAGCCAAGCTCGCCGTCCTCCTGAGGGTCGAAGTCGAACAGGGCCTGCACGTATGTTGGATGCTGCAGATGCACAATAGACACGTGTAAATAACACCATGGTTTAGTATATACACTACTGTACAAAAACTTGGGGTCTGTAAGATTTTTTTTATGTTTTTGAAAGAAGTCTCTTATGCTCACCAAGGCTGCATTTATTCGATAAAAAAAAAAAAAAAAATTCAATATAAATTACAATTTAAAATAACAGTTTTCTATTTGAATATATTTTAAGATGTAATTTATTCCTGTGATGCAAAACTGAATTTTCAGCATCATTGCTCCAGTCTTCAGTGTCACATGATCCTTCAGAAATCATTCTAATATGCTGATTTGCTGCTCAAGAAACATTTCTGATTATTATCAATGTTGAAAACAATTGTGCTGCTTAATACTGTTGGAAACCACAATATATATATATATATATTTTTTTTTAGGATTCTTTGACGAGTAGAAAAGCATTTATTGGAAATAAAAAAATGTAACTTTGTGGTCACTTTTGATCAATTTAATGCATCCTAGCTGAATTAAAAAAAAAATCTTATTGATGCCAAACATTTGAATGGTTATATAAGTGAACTTATGGATCATAAAAAAGCAAAAACCACCAACACCAAAAATATTGAGAAGGATGTTGGATTAATTTCCACTAATCAGTTCTGGATTGTTCTATACAAATGAAAAAGAAAACAAAACAAAACAATGATTGAACAGTTTATTCATCTGATCACTTCAAAATGTTGACAGAATCTCCTGTTTGGTATTTCACAAGCTTTCAAAATTTTTTTTTAATAATAAACAAATATTAAATGTACTATTATAAATTGATAAATACACATGAAAATTCTTAAATATTTTCTTCGGCTTCATTTAGTGTGTGCAGCATGCCTTTTTTCCTAGTGCTACTGTAAACAACTATTCAAGTGCAGGCTATTCCAAAGAAAACATTTAAATGAATCTTTAATCAAAACGTAATAATTTGATCTTCCCGTGAATCTACTTTCCTTTTCTGCGGATGTCCCTTAGGCCAAATATCCTGTTTCACTAGGAAGTGTTACATTACAGAAGTCAGCGCTCCAGACAAAAAAAAAAAAACCCCAAAAAAACTAAATTAGGCATCAGAATATATTTTTTTAGGTTCCACAGAATAAACAGGATTTATTTATTTAATACTTTAACATTTCAGTCATACTGTCATGTGTTTATGTCTCCCCTCCTCTTACAGCATCAGCATTTGAATCCATCTGGTAGATGTCCTGGGAACTAAAGTTCACTTAAAGTGACCACTGAATGTCTTTTACAAATTGAGAACTATATGCAGTCACAAAGAACTGTTTATGACACAGAATCTGTGCCAATATCATGGACCATAATCAGTCAGCATCACTTGGCCACTGAGTGTACTTTGGGCTCCTCCTCAATGCATCTTATAAATGTAGTCACATGTCTTGCACACATCCAGTCTGTTTTTCTTCATTAGTAACATGCAATCTTATAGGAGGTGTTGAGTTTCATCTTTTGCTCCTTGCATCGTTTCTTATCATGTAGACAACAGGTAAAGTAAAAAAAATATGAATATGCAATATAGAGCATATATTTAGCAAAAAAACTCCTCTTTATAGTTATTTTTCTAGCTGACTGATGAGCTTACGGACGCCGAATGGTTATTCTGAGGTAAATGTATTGTCACATAGTATTGTTTACAAGCATTACGCGTTTTCCGCAGTTTGAAACACTGAATGAGCGATTATATGAAACATTTCAGTAAGTTATCTTGTATTACACCTTTTGATGTTCATTCATGTTTATTTCGTACTATAGTAAAGAGAAAGATCTTATGGGTTCACGTGCCGCTTGAACTGAGGCGATAAAGCTATCGCTCCTGCCGCATTAAGGAGCGCCAAAACCGTATTTATTGTTCGAATTTCGTTCTGAATTTGGCAGAATTTTAAAACTGATACTTTGTTTATTAAAAGGTATCAAAGCACAAAGCTTATTGCGATTATTGGACGGCAAGTGCGCTACAAATATAATGGAAGTTCACGCGTTAACGCAACACAGCATATAGATATAAACATCTTTATAACAAGGAGCCATATTAGTATCGATTGTAAACGAGAAATGTTAACAGTCCACACAGCTGACAGCTTTACCTGTTGTGGTTTGTTCAAGTTGTGCATGAAATAGACACTGCTTTTCTGCACTTTTACTTCACACGTCTCCGTCATTTTCGAGCTCTCTCATGCCGCCACAACTAGAGCTGCTTTTGTGCATCACCGCTGGTGTTCGGCAGAGATGAGGACTGTTTGAAAAGTTTTTTTCCACTAAAACATTGATGCGCATCGTCTCACTCAACATAACAAAAGATTCGATTGCAAAACAAGCAGGAAAAAAAGGCATTACATGCAAATTTTTAAATCATAACATGTCAATTTGTATAGTCGCCAGTGGCGATCTTAGCAAAAATATCACTTGCAAATTGCGACCGTTTTAGGCGCAGTCTGGAGCCCGGAAGTAAACGTGTAGCTAATGGTGATTCACTTACACTTTAAGGATTGCAAAGGTAAAAAGCAGCATACAGACCTGAGGCACCTGCTCGATGTCTCGTAGAAAGATCTGTTGGTTTCGGGAAACGGAAGTGGTGCGGTGATAGTCCACCAGCTCGTTGAGAGAGTTAAACTTCACGACCCACAGGAAGTACTTTCCAGCCCCGTCACGCAGCACTTTAAAGTGCTGTACATCATTGCCAAACCTTCAAAAACAACAAAAGACTTGAATATAAACACAACACTTTGTAATCTGCCTGACAACTTCAAGCTTTATTTAATACTAAAGAGACATAAAGCACTCGTCCTGTGCCATGATTCATACACAGACGTCGCAGACTGGGCGGCAGGTTACATAAGTGAACAGAGATCAGAGCACATATTAACACATGTATGCAAACACAGGTGAGACGGACAAGATAGATGGGGGATGAAATGTGTGATTGCCCTGATGTCTATCAGAGAACTGATTGAGATGAGAACAGATGTGATTCACACGAGACGCATGATGACATTCATGCTACCTGTCTTTGTATCTACATTACTGTACAGAAGACTGGGGTTAGTAAGCTTTCAAGTTTTTGTTCACCACGGCTGCATTTATTTGGTACAAAATACAGTAAATACTGTAATATTGTGAAATATTATTATAATTTAAAATAAATGTTGTCTGTTTTAATATATGTTAAAATGCAATTTATTCCTGTGATGTAAAGCTGAATTTTCAGGATCAGTACTCCAGGCTTCAGTGTCACATGATCCTTCAGAAATCATTCTAATATACTGATTTGCTGCTCAAGAAACATTTATTATTATTATCAGTGTTGAAAACAGTTGTGCTGCTTTACAGACGGTGATATTTTATTTTCATGAGTTTGATGAATAAAAAAATAAAAAAATGATGCATTTACTTAAAAACAGAAAACATTTAAATAGGGTAACTTGTAATCTGTAATCAGTTACATTTCTAAAGTAACCTTCAATATATATATATATATATATATATATATATACACACACACACAGGGGGTTGCACAACTACTGATTTCTGCTAGTCGATTTCTTATTTAAAAAATACTCGAGTTACTCGACTACTCGTGGTTCATGCTGTAAATTAAAAGACATGAAATAGTTCTTATCAATAAACGTTTAGTATTTCATAGCCTAATGCAACAATTACATACCATACGTAAATTGTCAAAACTTTATAATTATGACATTACATATTTTAATTTTCATGTAACAGCCAGTATTTGCATCTGTATTTGTATCTGTAAGAATCACAAAATTATTCGTATCTGTATTCGGATAAAACCAGGTGGAACTTCGTACAGTTACTTGTTAAGACCGATTTGACTATCTTTTTTTTTATCACTGAACAAATATGCCGTGTTAAACTAAAATAATTATTAATTTCTAAAAATATATTTATCATACAAGCAGAGAGATGTCATGACAAATGTTTAGTGATCATTTGAACACGACTGAATTAATTCAAGGCGCACATTTTCATTACGCAGAATTCTTTAAGCGAGTCTTTTTTTTAACTTCACTAAACAAATGTTTTGAACTTCACTAAACAAATGTGCGTGTGCCACGCAAACCAGCAAAAGATAAAGAAGTAAACATGTAGGCCTAGTAGAAAATGTATCTGTATCTTAGATGATTATTAGCCTACTATTGAGAGAGAGCTGGTTTGGTTTTTGAGAGACTGAGATGCGCAACGCGGCTGTTTGATTGGTGAGCGCGCTGTTTATTCCATTCATTCGTGTATCATATCGTAGCCTAAAGTTTAAATAATTGCCTTTTAAATATACACAAATAATAGAACGTGCATGATGTATTATTTTAGTTGATATTACTCTTGCCAAGCTCTGATTTCTGAGAGATGCACGGAGAGGCAACAGCAATGCGGTGTTTGATATTCGCTCTTTTCATTCATAAAGTTTACATTCATTCACTTCACACACTCATTATTGCGTGACTTTAGAGGTCTGTGTATAATACTGCGCTGATCCCCTGGCTCACTTGTTATCTAGCAAACACTAGACTGTGCCAGCCTCAGCCGAATGTTATTCCTTATTAGAATTATCTTATTATCCATTATCCGTGCCATTACGAATAAGGTATTCGGCTTCGGGCACACCCCTAATTATTACATTACATATTTTAATTTTACATGTAACATAGACAAAGTCATAGAAAGTAACAGCTACACGCAATATTGTAATCCTAAAAAGTAATGGCTGATGGAAACTCAGCTTTGCATCACAGAAATAAATAAAATTTTTCAAGTATATTAAAATAGAAACCATTATTTTATATTGTAATAACATTTTGCAAGATTACTGTTTTTTTCTGTATTTTTGATCAAAT